TTTTTTTTTTTTTTTTTTGACATTGGAAATGTTCTGCATTGGAAATAGTGCAGACAAAAATTACCATAATAAGAGCCATCATTTTGTCAGGTATTGTTGCTTTTCTTTTTGTTATCAAAAGGACATTTTACCATTTTAACGTATTTTCTAGTTAGAAAATTAAGATAATGGCATTAATAGAACTCCAGTTGCAGTGCGGTTAGGGAATATATTCGTGTCTTTTGATCCACCTCCTTGTTTCAATACACTCAAAACAAAGTTCCCCAGCCTTGAGAAAGCTAAATAGCTTAGACCAAAAATCACAAGATAAGCAGATAAACACAGACTATTGCAGTTACATGATTTACTTAAATACCAAGTTTTTCCGTGTCTCAAAAAAAACACCAAATAAACAAACAAACAAACAAAAAAAAGACTCTGCTAGTAAGACAAAAGACAAAATAATTTACATTAGGAATTTATACTGTTGTTGCTACTGCTTGCTTACTTTTTCTTTTCAGATAGCATTTCCAGATATCTGCAGACTGGATTTGTATTTCAACCAGAAATGTTGCTGATATGCAAAGTATTAATTTGTCATTAGTGTTAACTGTAGTGTTATTTGAATATCACCTAAGAAATGTACAGCCCAAGTGTATAATGACAGAACTGGCTGAAATTTTTGAATTTCCTCTGAATTCTGTAATAAATAGTTATATTCTGTAATTTGTTATTTCCAGGCCACTATCACATGAGTCACAAATGTTACAGTTATGCTGTATTGCCTGCTAAGACTTACTGCACATCAGCACCAGGGGGAATTATTATAGATTAAGTTAAATTTAATCACCAGCTCAAAATAACAGGCATAAATCAGCAGCGCTCATTAGTAAAGCGCATGTCTAACCTTATCTGAGAGAGATGCCCTAGAAAGGCAAAGTCATCGTTTGTTTCCTCTGAGTCAATAACTACGCCCGTATATTTTAGTGGATTTCTAATCAGCGTCTCACTGCTTGGGTCTAACCTTGCTCCTGACATGGATCCACCAGATGGAGTTGGTGTTTGTCACCGAGTTTCTCCCCAAATTGTGTCTGCCTTGACACAAGCGAATCCCACTGACCTTTTAGGTGTCCTTCAACCCAGTGAGCCAGTTTCCCCTGTTCACATATGTCTAATTTTCCTCCACCTGTTTCTCTTCAGATAGACCATGAAGGTATCTCTTTGCATCCCTCTGTGCAAGTGCTGCACACCGCATCTTGGGCAAGTTGCCAGCTGTGCTTGTTTGGGTACAAATATTCTCTTCCATTTGCAGCACAGGCAGCTATTTAGGATTCCGGTCAGAGGTTTCTTTTGATTTAGTTTCCTTCAATAGAGCTATTCTGTAAATGCTTTCAACTTTCATTGTCTTTACCCTAAGAAGCTTTTTAGCGTGTTTCACAGAGGGATTCTGTAGATGAGTATCTGAACTACTGATTTTAAAATGGCATAAAAACCTGGATTGAGAGGAACTGAATAAAGTTACAAGGCTGAAACATTTTTTTAACAGAAAAAATACACTAAACAGTTTTATCAATGAATAAAAAAATGCTGTAAATTTTGATTTTTTTTAATGTGGTTTTCATTTTCTTGAAAAATCTCTTTTTCAGTGAGATATTCAATGAGTACTATTCAAGAATTTTATATGGATAAAATTTAAATAAACTTTCATTAGGAATCAAAGAAAACATGACTTTAAATGCAAGATGATATAAATTTTAATTTACTGAAATATGATATCTTAAAATCATGGTCTTTTAGGTCAACACAAAGACTATTTTGATTTTGTTTAAAGCAGATTGTCAGATCTAGAAGAAATGGAACCTACCATTAACCAGATATATTTATTTGTCTTATTCTCCACTTCACAACTTCTTTGTCACCTTGACTTCAGATGGTAGGGACCCCCTATTTGAAGCTTTCAGTTATATAGTAAAAGAACTATGTGCATGATCTCCATATAGTTTTTGGACTCTTTTCTATAATTTGTTCATATGAAAGGCTGTGATATTTTAGTATACTGATGTTGTGTGCATTGCATTCTCCTTATCTAAGGGCGTATTTCTGCAGACAGATTCTGTCTTTAGTTTCTAACCATGAATGGCGAGACAGATTTTCAGAAGATATAACAATGCTGATATGCATTTTGGATATCTCTGAGTATACTAATAAATGTCTCAAGCTTAACTCTGCTCTACTCTCACTCCCCTATTTCACATTGTCTGGGATATTTTATCATCTGTTGTTTGCTTGTTCTTATTGAAGTAGCCCTTTCTATTTCAACCAATTTGCTGCCTCTGTAGTAGACTCTGCAGTCTGTCCCTAGTCCCACTCCCAGCTAATCCCACTAGCCTGGATTACCCAGGAGGAAAAGAGGAAAATGAATTGGACCGTGGTTTGACTGATAAAATATTCCATGGCAGCTTTTATCAGATAAAGCAGCCTAAACTTCAGCTGAATATAGTTCCTAATTTCCTCCTATCCTCCTTTCAGTTGAGGCAGTGATTAGGATGTAAGATTCTGAACTTTTTTCAGATCTAGCTTAAGTGATACCAGGCAGATGAGTTATTGCTTCCAAGACACTGTTAAAACATGAATAGCTCCATGTTTATCATCTTTGATGCCATCAGAGAGTAGAAGGATACACAGTTTCTGGATAGAATTGCATATTGCATAATATATATTTTTTTTAAATTTGGAAAGAGTCTGATTGGCTGGAGGAAAAGGATGGAAGTGAATGGGTTATTTTGTACAGTTTTTTACCTGTAGATACTCCAAAGAGGACGCACAGTGTAAAGATTAGATTTTTGGTTCAAATCTATATTTGAATGCAAAACACAATTTTTTTAACTTGCTAGACTGAGATTTTTATTTGCTTGGACTTTTTTTTTTTTTTAAGTCTAGTTTGTCAGCTCTTACAAAAAAAAAAAAAAAGGAAAAAAAGACTTCATTTTCTGTTTGCCCATTGGACTCATCACTGCAAAATCTTGAGGGCAAATTTTGTCATGGAAGGGTGATTACATGCTTTTCAGAACAATTTAATTTGATATAACAATACAGTAACAGTTGCTAAATCTTCCAGGGAGATACTGTAAAATAGCCAAATTAGATGCAATGACCAATCAAAGTGTGTATTCGAATAGTAGCTAACCGTACCTTATTTCAGAAAATGCATTTTTTATTACCAAAATAGTAAAATTTATCCAAAAAAAAAAGACTAATTTATCCTCCCAGAGTTAATATATTTTTATTGGTAATGAAATGCTGTGACATTCTATCTAAATGATGATATAATTTCATAAACATTGAATCATGTTATCACAGGAAACAAGGGGCTCTTTATCTATGGAAGGTCTAGTCAAGAGAGGCCTAACATTAATATACGATTTTGTGTAATTTGGAGTTTAACCGTATTGTTATAGTAGGTAGGCAAGAAAGAATTCTGTAATATTCCTGAATTCATTTAATCAGGAAGGCAAATCAGTTATGTGGTTCAGTTACCAAATGCTGATAGAATTGGTTATGGTAGATGATTGTTTCTTAATTACAGCTGCTCTGTAATGGTATTGTGTTATCAGGTTCCAAGAGGAAAACAGTAGAGTATCATAGTTTGCTATGCCAAATGACCACTGATACTGCCAAGTATAAGTACCACCGAGAGTGGGTTCTTCTATAAGATGATAACAACATCCCTAAAATAATGAATGCCACACTTCCCTATAGGTATTTATGTTCAGATATTTTATTTAAATAATGTTCCTCATGCATACTTTATAGCCTTCTGCCTTTTCCTGCACAAATTTCGGCTTATATTGCAGAGTGTGCAAGTCATTTGGCAAATGTAATTTCCATCCCTGCATACTAATCGATTTCTTCACAAACACCTGCTATCAGTTATGATAATAAAAATGCCATTCTAAATTGAAAAGGGGCCAAATGGAGCTTCCTAAGGAAATGACTTAAGTGTCTTTCAATGTCTTTAATGTAGTAATGTTCTTGTAGTGCCAACACTTTTTTTTGAGCATTTGCATTTTATATAATTTTACTCATTACATCATTTTTCTGTCTAAATGGTTCCTCATAACTATTGCTATGAAGTAGCTCATGAAGAGACTGGAGAGGAATTTCTGTGCTTTCCCTCTCATGGGATTGAATCCAGAAAACTCTGCGTAGTAAAAATTCCTTAGTGCAGATCTGATTGGAACATCTGGCTGCTACAGCTGTATATATATTAAACAACTGCATCAGATCCTACAATGTCACTGGGAAAAGTTCTAAGTTGATGAGTACTTTTCCTTGGACTGCATGGCAGTTTCTTCCAAAAATATGTCTGAATTTAGCAGCTGGATTACAAGTAACGTTTGAATTACCCGGCATTGCTTTATGGCTCCCTCCACCCCAGAAAATAACTTCCCAGTGACAGTCTTTGCCAGAACCTGATCATTTTCAGTTCTGCTAGATCTCCCCTCTGCTCTGAAATGTCCTACAGTCCTATTTTGTTTTTTCCCTTGACAATGTCCTCTGCATTATTTGTAAGAAAACAATCCTTTTTACTGATTTCTTTGCATTTTCATTTTCTCCTAGCTCTAGCTGCCCAAGCTTATGCACTTAAGGAAGAGAATGATAGCCTTCGGTGGCAGCTGGATGCTTATAGGAATGAAGTGGAGCTTCTGAAACAAGAGAAAGGACAGCTCTTTCGAACAGAAGAAAGCCTTACGAAGGACCAGCAGCTGCAGTTCCTACAGCAGACGATGCAAGGCATGCAGCAGGTACTGCTGTGCAAGAGTAGCAAGGGTTTTCTTTTCCTAGGAGAGTGTTCCCTGAATCAATGCTGTGCACAAGACTATTTATGACTCTTGAACGCCCAATCCCAACTTCTTTGCAGAGTCAAAGTCTTACGGATTTTAGATGGGGGAATGGGGATGAGGAAGAGTCATTTTAGTAATCCATATACTATAAACCCATCATTCCTTCAAGGAAACTGTTTATGCTTGCTCTGCTTGGGAATGAACCATTTCGCCTATTTTACTTACTGAGCCCAGCTCGCAGTAAATCTGACCAAAAGTTCACAGAAGTTTTTCCAAGATAGCATAACATTAATCTGCATCATTAGATACATCTCCACTTCTCTGCACTGTCTTTTATTCTGCTTACTGTTGTTTGAGGATGATTTGGACAATTTCAGCTTATCCAATCTGCCTGCCTGCTTACTTAAAAGAAGATAGCAACCTCAGTATTATCTTCCAAACTTTTATTATTTATCCTGATCCGTGGATGTCGTGATTACATTCAGGCAATGCTTTAAGTGATGCAGTGCAGAAACACTTTTTCTTTAATTCCAGTCAGCCAGAAGCTGCAGTGTGTCCTTACACTGGGTGCTCATATAAGTTGTCCTATGTATGTTTGCTTGTTTGCTAGTATGCTCCTGATGTTGTACAAGGCAAGTCTTAGCAAGCACATCCAGACCGTTGCCTCTACTTTGTCTGTACTATCCATTAACACGTATGCACATTTCATTCAACACACACTTGTATTAACTTCTGTCCTGTGCCAGCACATATATTCACCTACAACACAACAGATCATGAGCAGTGTGCCAGCATACTGCTGGTTTTTTTTTTTTTTTTTTTTTTTTCTCTAGACTTGAGTTTCTCATGTATATCACTGCAAAAATTAAGTTTGCCTCCTCCATGTATGTCCTAAAGGCACACGTATGCTTCTGTGTCCTTCCTGATTGGCTAGATTCTAGAGGGGGACGTGTTGTACTCCATTATACTAAATTCTTTTAATGACTCAAAACTCCATTGCTAGGAAGCAGTCATTTCTGTACAAAATGCATGACCAGATTAGTGATTGTATTCCCATCAGAGAACTGGTCAAATCCAATAAGTCTGAAAATCCTGCTTAACACCTAATAACAGAGCTGAAGGCACTCCTAGTCAGTTCCATGCGTGTCTTTATGAACATCTAGGTCCAACCTAAGCTCACAGTCTTTTAACAAACTAGGATGGTTTATGGTACAGTAGAGTCGTTCTCAACACTCTTTGAAAGAGAAAATAAACTATTGATCATTCATTTGGTAAAATTGTGAACTAAAGAATAAAGTCTTAATCAGAATTTCTTAAGGTTTCAGTGTACTTTGAGAGATATACTTGAGTACTATTGTTAGTCTTGTCTTTATATAAATGATTTTAAAAATGAAATATCATCAGCTTCATTAAATCTACTCACATATATAATAAATACTGTGCTAAATTTCAGCCTGATGCTAGTTCTCCTTTAAAAACAGTAAAAACTGGGCAAAAACATTACTAAATTAAAATGCTGGAGCACTCATTTTGCATTATTAGTTTTCTACTTAAAGTCTGGATTAAGAATAATCAAGTCTGTAGAATGTAAAAAGATTGCTGTTATAACTTCAAGCAATGATAATATTGTAAGTCAATAACCAAGAATGAATTATTTACTTATATTTCCATTTAAATGAACCATCAACACTTCAGTCTCTATTCTTCTGAGATTTTTTATGTGCATGGTCACTTTGCTGTGGGTACTGAATTTTTCTAGTTTCCATCTTAGGGTCAAACCGATATCCCAAAGGGATATAATTAGAGATGGCCCAAGGAGCTGAAGAAGACATTGCAGATAATCCAGTCTGACAATATGCTGAGGAGGGCAGTAGCATAGAAGCACCGGAGGTGGAGTTCAGAATATTTGGTGGGGCATTATCAGTGAAGTAAGCAGCTTCATGATTACTGTCAGGGCTTTGGATTTCAATTATTAGCCATATTCATGACGTCTCATGACCTTTTTGCTTTTCATGCAATTCAGCCATGAATATTTAGAAGTAAACCTTTGATTTAGGTGGACTATTTTATCACAGCTTGATTTTGTAAACGCTAAGAGCTGACAACCTCAGCTGAAATCCATCAGTAGAGCAGGTGCTCAGCATCTATGGAAATCAGTCTATGAAATATTAAACAAATATGCAGAACTTGAGTGGTAATAATTTAACAAGAAAATCTGTATTCCCTTTTATCCTTTTGTATATATTAAAATTAATTTCAGACAAGGTAAACTGAATACCACTGAATTCTTGAAGCCTGTATGTATGTCAGCATTAAAGGCTGTATTCTCCTTTCTTCCTCTCTATTCTTCCCTGCTCTTTATAAACCTCCCCTTCTTCTAGCTTTAAAAACTAAAGAACAATTGATTTGAGCTGTAGTCTGAAGAGCAGATTTATCTGAGAAAAATAGATCCACTTTTCGAATCAAAAGAATTTTTGTAAACATATTTGGTGCCAAACAGTAACAAATAACACAACATCAATGTATTTTTAATGTACTTCCACCATCTGGTCATTTTTCAGGATTCTTTACCACATTTGGAGGATTGATGAAATGATTGTTTATTTTCTCTTCCATTGCTCCTACTGCTCCAAAGTATCATCAGCAAAATCACGTAGATATTTACTTATGAAGGGTACCTTCCAGATGGCAGTAGCAATATGTTATTTATTGTGTCTAAAAATGAAAATCCTTTGGACTAATGACATTGAACTTACGGGGTTTTGAGTCAACTTCCTCCATAAAACTGTGTCACAGTTCAATTTCATACCCACTGTGAGATCTCAAACAAATGGAAATAATGTCTTGTATCCATGGTAACAAATGAGATACACTTTACCTGAATTTGAGTTGGAAATTGAATTAACTTGTCACTGCTGCATAGGTGGTATTGCCTTCAATTTATTTCTATATGAGAACACACGTACCAAGCAGATCACTTTTTGAACGGCTCTGGTTTTTAGCAGTGTTTGGTATTCTGTCAGAAAGTCTGTGATCATAAGGAAAGATGTTTTAGTTGTAACTATTTTTATAATACTGCACAACACAGCTGTGTGAAATTTTGAAATCTAGTCTCCCTTTCTATAGACTGTTTTACTAGATGAATTACTACAGGTAATGCAGAAAATATCATCTAATAGTGTAGCTTAATGCTTGCAAAACATTTTTCAGTGGATATATAACCTCTCCAAATTGTAAATACTTGCATTAACATAAACCATGTGGAGTAAAAATTCTCAATAAAACATTTCAGCTTGTTCAAGAACAAAACAAGAGATCTACTTTTTATATTTTTATTGTCCAGTAAATAAAATTCTTGAGGAATCACATTTGTCACATTTATGCTTTGAAAAACAGACTCAGAAATTGATATTCAGTTAGTATTGACTCAATGATGAGGTTTCTACATCCTTTCAAAGATCTGCCTTAAATCGGCAAAACTTTGAAAAATCTCACCTACTTAGAAGATGGAACTCATTAGCACTAGTCTTTGCAAGTTTTACATTTTTACCGAGTATACAGATTTATTCATGAACCATATCCATAACACAACCACCAGTGCAATATTGTAAAGCTCAAGTAGGTCCTAACTCCACAGAGCATCGCTCAGGTCCTGCAAATGTTCTAGCTCCTTTAATGTTGACCTCTACTAGAACTAATTAGCTCCACTTTTTCATCAGGCTTACTCAGACAAGGTGTGATACCATGCTTGCACATCTGTACTGGTTCCTGACAAGCTTGTTTGCCAATAGTTTGGAAATTCTACACAGTGCTTCATGGCATGGTATAAATATTCCATGAGCATGTTCTCACAAGTCCCTGAGCATGATTCAGTATGGGTTGAAATTAAGCTCTGGCCTTCCAGAATGATCCAGAAATTCCTGTATAACTCATGCTTCTGGCTATATTTTCTCCAGAAAAACACATACAAGTGTTTACCATTCTGCTGTTGCATGTGCCAGGGTATATTTTGGATGTTTAAGAGGCAACTCAGTGCCCAGTTCTCCAAAGGTCCCAGTTCATTAGCTGGACTCATTCAGCAGCAGCTCTTGCTCCCCTTCATTGGCAGTGGCACATAAGAGCCTAACCGTGTGGCCACTAGACAGGGAGAGGACACATGTGGACACCTGATGTGAAATTAGTGCTTGGAGGGAAATGCAAAAACAGTAGAAGAGCCCTTGGTGGAAGGCACAGAGCTGACATAAGTCATTGCTGCTAGTAACTGCACTAGCTCTGGAAGTCTCAGCAGGAGATTCACCAGATTCTGACCATATTAATGACCCACGTGGGTGTCACTTTGATGCAGTCTGGCAAAAGCTCTGCTTTATCTTAGCTTTTTTTTCCCTTTTCCCCAAATGGTGTAAATTTCACTCAAACAAAGATGAAGACTGCAAACCTTAGCACTCAGAAACTAGGAAATGCCAGAAGTCCTGCCTGTATGTTTTGCTTCATATAACTCAGAAACACTGACTCTATATGTCAGTGCTCTAGACAGAGCACACAAGAAATCACCACCTATTCAATATTTTCCTAATTTCATTGCTCTGTGTGCAACACAGGATCTTACTGCAAAGGCCACATTTCTCCTGACATTTCTTATCTAGTGAATTCCAATTTTATAATTTACTTAGCATTTAGCAAGTGCAATAACTAGCATATGCATCTGAGAATTATACGCCTCATTTGAAAGGTCTTTGGTAAATGCCGGGTGACTTTAGCAATTGTTTCAGGCTTTCAAAGTGCACGCTCATCCAGGGAGGGATGTCTTGTTCTGTGGCATGCTTCATGGTTATGATCTAGAGAGTGGGCAAACCTGCTGGAATACATTCTAGATCCCTCATAGCTGCTGCTCCCTGGAAGGAAGATGGCCAGTGTATATATTTGGTGATAAAGACTATGGTATGCACATCACCTCCTCAGTA